CATTTAGAGGTGAAGTATCTAGTTAAATATGGAACTGAAATAAAAGTTGTACTTACTGTGTGTTCAGTAAAATCACATTTCATACAAGGCAGACAACCAGAATGCTACACATTAAAATATATAGCCAAAGTAAAAATGACACTAAAATCCAATCAAATAAAGCACATTGTCTACACAGCATTCAAAGACAGTATATAAGATCAGATAAAATCATATAAGGTTAAAATAGCAATAGAATAAAAGCAGACCTAAAAATCCAGTAATCTAAAAAGATGTCACAATGCAAAGGACAACAAATTTGTTTTTAATAAATATTAATTTAAATGTGCATGACATCTAAGCTGTGTGCACATGGAAACATAGATTATTCAGCGTGGGCAGATTAATTTCAGATACTCAATATACCAAGAATTACCTAAAGAAGTGTCTCCAGGTTTAATGCTGTTATATATAATAAAGTAGAAGTGATCACATTGAAATTAAAATTGTCAATTGAATATAATAATACCATTGCTATAAGTACAATAGACTGCTTTCTAATCTACATTCACTGGCAGCAAACTCAAACCACATATAAAAGTATATTCATGCATTTTCTGTAACACTAGCTGAACTGTAAATACTTGTTACAACACGATGCATGCAAGTTTTTTGTGTTTTACTGCATGGCTACAGTCAGTAGTTAATCTTACAGCTCACTAGGCTGCAAAAGAAAAGAAAAATGTTAAGGATATCTTAACTGGTCCTCATTTACCAGTTCTCTGTATTTAGTCTGCAGTATGCATGAGGAGAAACTTTCCAACAACGTAAATGCATCTGGTTCCAAAAATTGAAGGAAAATTCATACAAAACACCATGGAAACATTTTTAGTTACTCAAGTAATGTAATGAAATGCACGTACCTTTGCCATTTTTAAACCCTCTCTGACTTTTGCAGAATACAAAGATGATATTCACAGTCACACTAAAGGCCAATAACACACCTAGTGCCAGGACAACCGGGTCAAGTTTTGCTTCTGGAAAAGACACACATGATATTCATGATTATTCACGCCAGATTTGAAGAAATCATAACATAAAACTTGCTGAAAAATGTTCAGTAGTGAACCCCAAAATACTTTTCACATCAAAGTCAAAGTAAACTTTCTTGTTATCTCTGCAACATACAGAACAGTATATAGAGAGACGAGACGACGAGGATCCAGTTCCATTCAGTGCAAAGGAGAACAATAAATATAAGAAGAGTAATAAAAAGAGAGAGATTGAGAGGAG